GGGGGGGGGGGGGGGGGGGACAAACCACAAAACTATAAGCCTTTGTAGGTCCATTAATTACTGTTTCTCTTTTAAACCTTGTACAACTGTCAGGTTCCTCCAAAAACCATATTAAATTTTACACTGTATCTAGATACGTGGTTTAGCATTAAAAACAAAATTTTGAAAGAGTACACAACAAAGCATATTTACAAGGATTACAAAATCCATGGTTACAAGGACTTTACCACCAAAATTCTGGGTTATCTCAGGCACATCACTTAGCTTGCTGGTTCACTTACCTGTCCTATAAAATAAGGAAACCATCATGGAGTTAAGAGGATTTCACCAGAGGCCCCTCTCAGCTCCAGGGTGTGCAAAGGCACCATAACATTCCAAGTGGAGTGCTTTTCCTACATTGCAAGGTGAGGAGGGCAGGGAAATGTGTTTAAAACACGTCCCACCAGATAGAAGATTCTGGGCAGAATTCTCAAAGCTGGAGTCATCCTTCTAAAAGCCAACAAACCTACTGCAAACATTTAATCTATTCATCTTGAAGTATTTCCAATAAGAGAGGTGCAGGGGAAATAACCAAATGGTACAGAAATGCTGTCTACAGAATACAGTGATCAGGAGGCATCTAACAGCACTACAGGCTGCATAGAGGAATACCGGCACCTTCCCAAGCCAAACCCAAACTATACATAGGCAAAGAAAACCTATAACCCAGGGCTTGTAAGATCAAATGGCCACTGCTTCTTAGAATCTAACCGTGTGTGCAAAAACTTTTACACTCATGCTATTTTTCAAATCGCGAAGGAGAGGTGTATGGCATTGCACAAGGTTAGGATCGAAGCTAAACAACTGTTTTAAAGGTGGGCCTGGGGCCAGGTGTTGTGGAGAAGGAGGATCTCAGAGTTCGAAGCGAGTTTCAGGTTTCAGGCTAGCCAGAGCAACGCGGTGAGGCAGCCTCCTAAACAAAAACAAGGCCTGGAGCGGCCGTACCGTTGCCCCAGATAGCCAGAAGCAGGCGCGTCCTTGGACTTTTAAAACAAAACCACCATGCTGAGGAAGGCCCAAGGCGCTCGGTACCCACCCAGGAAACCACCCACTTCCGACCTCCCCGCGCTCAGAAGCCAGGCGAATCCTGGAGCCAGATGAGGAGCGGCTTCTTCAAACAACAAACGCTGGAGGAGCTCCCCGGGTGCTCGCGCTCCAACGGGCGGAGCCATCCGCAAGCCGCTGCGCCCCGAGGGCCGGGCCAGGCCGCCAGCCGAGTAGCGGGGCGACGCGGCCACAAGTCTATGCAGCGCGGGTCGAGCCTCGGTCCTCCAGACCCCGCAGACCCCGCCGCACCTGCCCGACCCAGGCCTAGGTCCGCAGCTCGAGTGGCGGCCGCGGCGTTCCGGTGCGCGCGCGCGCTCAGCCAATCGCGTGCTCGCCCGCCCCCCGCCGCCGCGGCGAGGCTGGCGCCGGGAAGAGGAAGAAGAACATTCGCCCTCCTCCTCCCAGCGCGCGGGCGGCGGCGGCGGCGGCATCGGGGTCACGAACTCTGACCTTTCACTGACAAAAACAATAACAAAACC